TGAGGTTACCACTAAAACCCTTGATAGACTGATGGGAGGGCTAGACGAGAGGAGGTTGGCTCAGTACTGGCATTCTGCATGCTCTAGGCTCTAAGTAAAGCTGGCCGTGTGTGTGGCTTCCTTGCAATCAGCCTGAGGGACATTAGGAAAGAGATCATTTCCTTCTGCAGAGGTCATGAAAGGCCTTATGGGGGAGGGAGTATTTGCCCTTGGCCTAGAAGTCCTGGTTTAGATGGAAAGAAATAGAATTAAGCAGTAAGGAGCATCTTCATGTCACTAGGACAAAATGTAAGGGTCTGACAGGCAATAATGCAGGACTAGGTTCTGTGTGACTCTGAGTCCCTGCTGGGCACTTTTAGACAAGTGGATGAATGTGGCACAGTTACCACTATGTCCTAAAAACAAGGTATTCCATAGTGGCAAGAAGGGAATGTAGGAAAATGCCTCAAATCCAAGCAGAGAGCACTAAGCAGGAGAGAGAACAGCGAATTCAGTACCTGGGCCTGGTTGAGAAGCTCCCAGATCAAGTCTTCCTTGCCCCCCACACTTCGGGCCACAACAGCATGGGAAGGGACTTGGGCCAGGTGGCAGTCCTTATATTTATCTACAGGCATCCTCTGCATGTTGTCTGGGCAGAGCAGCTTATATTGGTCCAAGTCAGCTTTGTTTGGCACGTTCTCTGGGGGAAGAAAGCCTGGATGAGCCAACTGCAGACAGAACAGAGTCATGAACTGTAGTCTGTCTCCCCATCCCTTGCAATCCCAATGAATCATAACATGTGCGAGCTGAGATACCTAGAGCAAACATTGAGGGCCAGAGCACAAAAGGGAACTGACTTGCTCAAGATCCCACGACCAGTTACAGGCAAGAAAGCTTCTGATGCCTAGTACAGGGGTGACTGCCCCATACCCCACAACAGGTCTCATCTCAGCAGACCAATTTCAGGCCAAGTTCAGCCAGACATGGCCCCAATCCCTTGCTGTGGCAACATTGACCAGGAAGAAGGATCCCCATGTCCAGGAGGTTGAATGATGGAAAGAGGCCCAGGAGTCCAGGTGAGGACCCCATAGGCACACAACTCTGCACAAGTAGAAACCCAAGCAGTGATAAAGGAGGAATACAGTATGCTCATATCTGACTACTGTCCATGAAAAGGGGTACAGGGGAAAAAAAAAGAAAACCCACTGCCTAGAAGGAATGTGTAGATTCTCCTGTCACTTACCGAACACTGTTGAATGCTTGACAAAGGCCACGTCCCCAGCATCATCCATCAGACACCTGTGGGAAAGAAATACATTAGGAGGATCCCAGCAGGGCAGACCCTTCACCTCAGGCTTGAGGGTCTGTCTGATCACATCATCCAGCCCTGGGACAAGGGCAGAGACTGGTGGAGGCCTCTATGCCGACCCACAGAGGAGGAAGCACTATGGGGCACTGATATACCACTAAGACGGTGGGGGGTGGGGGCTGAGCTCATGGGAACTAGAAATCCCTTATCATGTGCCCCAAAGTAGCAAAAAAAATCACTGAAGATATTTTAATACAGAAAAGAGTTTTCAAGTTTCTGAAATGGAAGATAAAGACATAGAGTCTTACAGAGGAAATGTCCCTTGGCTGGCTATCAAACTTTAGGATATAACCAAGGTAAAAGAGGGAGTGAAAAATCAGCCACATGAGCTGTCTGCACAGGGACAATGAGGGAAGGCAGGAGAGAGGCCAGTGCAATGAACAGGAGACACTGCTACAATAGAAAGCAGAGGGACAGTCACTGAAGAATGGTCCAGACACTAAGAATGTGCCTGTTCCCTTAGGCTCTGCCCAGTCCAGCGAAAGAACACACTGGGCAAGTTCAAGGGCTCTGGAGAGATAGAAAAGACCTCCAGGAGAGGGGCTCCCTTGTCAAATGTCACAAGAAAGGCATATGCACTGGCTTGGCCTACAGAGTCCCAGCTGGATCACTGAGTCACTGTGAGGGGATTAGGCCTCCTGGACACCTCTGTAGACTGGGTTCTGCTATGGGCCAGGTAGGGCCTCCCAGCCTGAGGACATTGGACACTTTGGCCACCATGGAACAGCAGCTGGTCTCACTCACTTGAAGGCACCTGAGTAGCCGAAGTATGGTTCATGGTTAGAGCAGGCACACTTGTCCGTCCCTTTCCCCGCACATAGTTGACACAGATTGGGGAAGGTTGTCCGATCTGCACAGGGAACACAGCTGCCCGCGAAGAAATTGGACACTGCTGCTCAACATAAGACATGTAGCACAGGTTACAAGCAATTACAGCTCCCAGCTCCCAGTCTAGACTCTAGGGAACAGAGAGTGACTAAAGCAAAACCAGCACACCCAGTCTCAGCACATCCTTATGTGTGTTCACTGATCAAGATCAAGGTTTTCCAAAAAGGGACAAGTTAACCTTTGTCCTCCCCCCCTCCTCCCCAAGAACCAGGCCTGTGCCTGCCATTGACCTAGGCCTGTCTCAGGTTGCTATCAGACTGGAACAGCTCAGAGAGAGGTCTCCTCTGGGGGTCATATCTGAGAGATGGGAGACCCACATAGAGAGGTACAGGCCAAGTTCATGGGCAGCAGATAGCCACCAGAAAAGCTCCAGCAGAATGGGAAACACATCAGCCACAGACCGGAAAGAACCCCAGGAAAGTGATCAGTAGGGCCCAGAAAACTTGGCCCTGACTGAAGCCTTCTGTTGGGCTTGATGGCCTTCCCCCACCGCCACTTCTCAGGATAGCCTTTGGGTGGGTGTTAGGAGCTCAGAGAAGAAAAAACTCAGCTGACACCTCCCAAGGGCTGCTGGTGTGGCAGAACTGATCAGTTTAAAGCTGGTGTACCTCCTACCTCCACCCCCTAGACTCATCACACATGATCACCTGATCATGTCTGAGTGACCCCAGTGTGGCCTGTGTAGGCCTGCCTGATAGCACTCACCCTCTTGCCTACTTACCCCTCTGAAGAGATTCACGTGGCTCAGGCAGGTTCCAATAAAGTAAGCCCATGGGGATGTTCCACCCAGCAGACCTGCCAAGGCCCGTGTGGCAGGACTTCTTGCCTTTGAGCTCATTCAGTTTGAAGTCACTACTCTTCTTCACCACAGCCACAGCATAATAGTAGGTTTTTTTATCTGCCAAGAGACAGTGTGAAAGACCCTCAACCTGGGCCACAGGGAAACACTGCTCATCACTACTGGACTCCTGAGTAGAGAAAGGGAATCCACAGGGCACATATATGTTGGTTGGGTCACAAAGAGAGAGAGATCAGGAAAACCTGCCTAGACTAGCAGGGGGAAGAAAGGACTGCAGAGAGAACATTTGCAATAATAGTCCAAGCAAACACAGGCCTACCCTGGCCCTGCAGGGTGTCTGCCTACACCTACCAACTCAAACCCACCACGAACTTGGAGTTGTAACACAGAGACCACATTCATTCTAAGTATATCCTGTTCACTGACACAGGCCCAGGGACAGTTGGTTGCTCTCAGAGGAAATGCAAGGCTGCTGGGGCTCCAAGTATGTACTCTAGTGTGGCCTCTCCCCTGTGTGTGGCACCTATGGTTTTTGGAGGGCTCCTCTATGTAGCTCTAAACCCTACTGGTTAAGGTCAGGTTGCACACAGTCTTCTCTGTTTCTCCAGGGAGCACATTTCCTAGCCCAGAAGGTCAGTGTCAAGAGCCCCAGTCCTCAACCATCCCAAAGCCCCAGAGGCCTTGACTTGTGCCTGTGGCAGCTGATAAGGCCTCTCATTCCCCACTGACACCCAATAGAGAATGCTCATCAGTATTTAATCTCCATTACCTGCCTGGGCAAGACAAACTCAGCATCTACCAGGAGAGAACAAGAGCCACAAACTCTTTCCTGCGTCCCCAGGAAGAACTTACCCTCTCCTGTCCCATAGAACTCTGCCACTACAGGCTTTAGGTTGTAGGGAGTCAGGCCAGCCTCAAACACCAAGCCTGCATCCAGTGTCACAGCATCTGCTTCATTTGACTGAAAGGAAACAGACCAGATCCTGATGAAGTCCTTACTTCTGAGGAAGGTCCACCTATACCCAGGCAAGTGAAGGTGACTGGCAGGCCTTCTTGGACCTGGGGCCAAAAGAACCCTCACCTTGGCCAAACCACACCACACCACACCAAGAGCTTCAGTTGACTCCACCTCCCTGGTGAGGGGATATGGCCACCATATTCCTATTCCTCCCACATAGAGAAAGGAATGAATTATGTTTCTCTTTCCCCTGGTGAAGAGTCTGGTTCTTGGCCCAGAAACCTATGTGTGATCTTTCAAGATCAACATGAATTAGAGAAGCTTTACATGGCAGACCTCATGGGGGAAAGTTGCCCTCCCAACCCTAGACTGGGTACACTGCCCAAGCATAACAGACACTGAAGGAAGTTGCAACCATGCTCTTACACATATTTATATTGAGAACCCAGTTGCTTTCGTTTGGTAACCTCTTCATCTTGGGCCTTCTGTTGAGGTCTTCTTCAGGCACTTTGTGAAGCCCTCCTTATGGGGGAGGGGAGTCTTAAAGACACTTGTCTCCACTCTGATTCAGTACTTTGTACTTTTCCTTCCTGTCCTGGGACCCCATAACTACAAGAGTCTTGTTCAAGGATTTGGTACTTTCTTTGGGCTTTACCTCTTGTTTATACTATGAACTAAGGGTTAGATGCTGATTATTATTTCCATTGTGGCTCATTATTTGTTTAATGGACTACTCAGATATGTCACAGGTCACCACTGTTCAACTCAGCTCCATTTTACAGATGAAAAAACAAAGACACAGAAAGTTTGTCACTTCTCCAGGCTACATAGCTAGTAAGTCATGGAGCTGGGATTTAAAATCAGGTCGTCTGGGTTCATTTCTTCCATTACGGTTACTTGCTGGTTATTTAGTTAGTTAATCTTGGAGCAACTTTTAAGGGTTGGGATCGTTTTTGTTTTATTGTAATATACATAAGATAAAATTTACTGTTTAACCTTTTTTTAAGTGTACATTTCAGTGCCATTAGATACATTCACATTGGTGAAGGACAGCTCTATTCCACAACTAAACACAAAATATGAAACAACCTTTGTGGCCTCCTTGGTATCAGAAAAGGTAAGTATAACCTCTGGCCTCTCCCCACCCACCCCGCACACCACAGAACAAAAATTAATAAGCAAACAAACAAATTTCCGCAGAGCAATGAGATTGGGGCTTTGTGGCCAAGACACCAGGATGCTGATCAGGAATCACTGGAGCCTCAGAGGAATAGGAACCAAGGAGCCAAGGCCTAACTCATGGGATCCACTAGAGCAGCAAGGATTCCAAGGGGAACCTGAACCAGCAAGGAGGAGGAGGATTAAAATCAAGTATGACCTCCCAGATGCAGATAAACACACTCAGAAGAATATAAGCCACAATGCACAAGCATCAACAGGAACAACAGACTTGGGCCCTCAAAGGAGGTTGAAGCTGTCTGATGCAAAGTTGAGAAGAGCTGCCTATGAGGTATTTACTTTTCTATACAAATTGAAGGCTGCAATCAGAGACAAAGCATAGAAAAGGAAATTATCAGAAATAAAAAGAAAAATTATTTGAACTGGTGCTTCTGGAAACAAAAAATATAACTGTTGAAATAAAAAAGTGATGAATGGGCCATAAGTTGATTAGACATGTTTAAAGTAAGAATTAGTGAACTGGAAGCTATATCTGAAAAATGTGTCCTGGATGCTGCCAAAAGGAGGTATAGATGGTGGAAATTGTGAAAGAAGGATTAAAAAGTTAGATTAAAGAAGACCTAATATGTGTTATCTTGGAATCCTAGAATTAAAAAAAAAAAATGGAGGAACTGAAAAAAAGCCAGTATTTAAAGAGATAATGGCTCCAAATTTTTAGAATTGATGAAAAACATAATTCCACAGACCCGATATACCCTAAGCAGGATAGGTACCAAGATTTTCGCAACTGCAAATATCATAGTGAATCTATAGAATGTCACAGACCAAGGAAATGAAACCTCAAAATTATTCAGAGATGATTGAAGGAATAACAGGATAATACCAGACTTCTCCACAACTACAGTGGAAGTCAGGAGAGAGTGGAATAATATTTTAAAACAGGGTAAAAATGTCAAACTAGAATTATACATTCAGCAAAATTATCATTCCAGAGATTAAAGCATTTGCAGAGAAAACAAGCAAGCACCTGAGAGAGTTTAACACCAAGAGATTGGCTTGACAGGATCACCAAAAGAACATATTTCAAGAAGGAAACATATCCCAGAAGGATAGTGTGAAAAATGAGAAGGAATGGGAAACAGACTAAATGACAAAAATGTAGATAAATCTAAGTGTTCTCTTTCTCTCTTTCTAAATTTTTGGGTGTGTGTACACACACACAGATACACAAACACACACACATAAGTTTATATATAGTGTCTACAAATACATGAAGTATTTACATTGAGTGTTTTAAAAAAGATAGACATAAGGGACGCCTGGGTGACTCAGTTGGTTAAGTGGCTGCCTTTAGCCCAGGTCATGATCCCAGGGTCCTGGGATCAAGTCCCATGTTGGGCTCCTTGCTCAGCGGGGAGCCTGCTTCCCCCTTTCTCTCCCTCTGCTTGTGCTCTCTCTGTCAAATAAATAAAATCTTAAAAAAAAAAGACATAAAATATTAAATGGTAATATTTAAACAGGGAAGAGGGAAGTCTGAGCTACTGTTTCCCAGAGTCCTTTTATTGTTTGGGAAGGAGAACCAGGATTACTTTACTGTAATATATTGGTAAGCTAAAAGTATGTAGTAAAAATTTAAGGAACTCATTAAGGAATATAAATAAAGTGTTTAAATTCATTACCAGTAGGAGGGAAAGTGGAATAAAGGGAAAACAATGCAAATGAACAAACACATGTGCAAACTCAATTTTTAAAAATCAGAAAAGGAAAAATCAGAAAACAGGGGAAGCCTGGACTAAAAGAAATCAAAAAGTAATATGGCAGAAATAAGTCCAAATTTACCAGTAATAATAATAAAATAAATGAGATTTCACATAAAATAAATGATTGTCAGATTGCATTAATAAGATCCAGCAATAAACAGTTTTCAAAAGATGCACCTAAAGCAGAAGCACACAGAATATTGAAAATAAAGGAATGAAAAAAGGCACAGGAGAAGACTACTAAGCAAAGAAAGTTGGTATAGTATGTTAATATCAGAAAAATAGAGTTTAGTCAAAAAGAACTGCCAGATAATTTCTTAATGATAAAATACCAAATTCACCCAGAATGATATGGATTATTCTCTCATATGCTGGTGGTAGGAGTAGAAATTGAAATAATCACATTGTCAACTACACTCCCCCCCCAAAAAAGAGGAGAGAGCCCAGATGTCCCTCGACATGAATGGATAAAGAAGATGTGGGGTGTGTGAATATATAATGGAATATTACTCAGCCATCAAAAAGAATGAAATCTTGCCATTTTCCATGACATGGATGGAACTAGTGGGCATTATGCTAAGCATAATAAGTCAGTCAGAGAAAGACAAATACCATATGATATCACTCATATGTGGAATTTAAGAAACAAAACAGATGAATATAGGGGAAGGGAAGGAAAAATAAAATAAGAGGAAAACAGAGAGGGAGACAAATCATAAGAGACTCTTAACTATAGGGAACAAACTGAGGGTTGCTGGAGGGGAGGTGGGTGGAGGGATGGGGTAACTGGGTGATGGGTATTAAGGAAGGCTCTTGATGTAATGAGCACTGGGTGTTATATGCAACTGATGAGTCACTAAATTCTATCCCTGAAACTAACAATACAGTATAAGTTAATTTAATTGGATTTAAATTAAAAAAAATTTTAAGGAAATAAAGGTAACTAACTACATGGGTAAATTAAAAAAAAAAAAAAGAACCACATTGAATTGACTTAAAAATCAAACACTGCTGGTGGAAATGCAAGCTGGTATAGCCATTCTGGAAAACAGTATGGAGGTTCCTCAAAAAGTTAAAAATAGAGCTACCCTATAACCCAGCAATTGCACTACTAGATATTTACCTAAAGGATACAAACATAGTGATCCAAAGGGGTACCTGCACCCCAATGTTTATAGCAGCAATGTCCACATTAGCCAAAATATGGAAAAGCTGAGATGTCCTTCAACAGATGAATGGATAAAGAAGATGTGGTGTATATATATACAATGGAATATTATTCAGCCATAAAAAAGAAATCTTACCATTTGCAAAGACATGAATGGAATTAGAGGGTATTATGCTAAACAAAATAAGTCAGTCAGAGAAAGACAATTATCATATGATTTCACTCATATGTGGAAGTTAAGAAACAATACAGGATCATAGAGAAAAGGAAGGAAGAATAAAATCAGATGGAATCGGAGAGGGAGAAAAACCATAAGAGACTCCTAACTATAGGAAACAAACAGGGTGCTGGAGGGGAGGGGAGTGGAGAATGGGGTAACTGGGTGATGCGCATTAAGGAGGGCACTTGATATAACGAGCAGTGGGTGTTATATGCAACTGATGAATCACTAAACTTTACCTCTGAAACTAATAATACACTATATGTTAATTCATTAATTTTTTTAAAAATCAAACATATTTGGCATTGTCTTAAAAGGCAAATACATATCCCTTGGCACAGCAAGTCTGCTCCTACATATATATATTCAAGAAAAACTATTAATATTTGTGTCCTAGGAGATTTGTATAAAAATATTTGTCAAGCCCTGATTAGAATAACAAAAAGCTGGAAATAGCCCAAATGCCTGATGACCAGAAAAGAAAAAATAAATTGTGTTATACTAACATAATGGACTATTGTAGAGCTCTGAAAATGAATGAACAATGGCTATATTCAACGATGTGGATGAATTAGCATAATATTGAGGAGGGAAAAACAAGAAGACAACACATAGTAATGCCATGTTTATGAAACTTTTTACGAATCAAAACCGTGCAGTCGTTCATGCATACCTATATACATCTTAAAACTAAAATAAAAGGCAAGAAAGTTGTAGGATTCAATTTGCTCAGGATGGAGAAACACATCAGTAGTTGTGGGTTACACCACACTACATGGGTGCCATTCCCATAAAATCCAGTGCTGCCACACAACAGCCCTAGAAGTAAGCTATTGGTACTGATGAAGTTTTGAGAACCTGTGTTAGGTTCATGAATAGTATTATTTCATATTATCGACATTTAAAAATAAAAAGGGGCATGCATGGACTAAAACTGAACAAATGTCGTAATTCAAGGGTTATAATTTAAAGCATGATCATAACTGAGATCCAATTTAAAAACACAAGCCAGTTGTTTTTACCAAATGACTGATTCCTTCAATCATGCTCCATCTGGCAAAGTCTACCTCTCCCACCTCATTACTTTTTCGAGTCTCCTGATTGCTCTACTCCTGTCACCCTGACTTCCCTACAGCAACTTCAGAAAGCCCAGCTCTGCTGTCTCAGGCCCTTTGCACAAACTGTTCTTCACTGCCTGGCGTATTCCACCAATGGCACCTGGCAGGCTTATCCATGCTCATCCTTGGGGTCTTAGTTTCATTGCTTCCCTGTCAGGGAGATTGTGCCTGACACCCAGGCCAAAGCAAGTTTCTTCTGAAAGTCTCTGTCAGAGCATTCTACTCTTTCCCTTCATTGTACATCACACAATTTGGAAATTTACAATTTATTTGTTTGCATGTTTTTCTTCTCTCCTGACTAGACTATAAGCTCCTCAAGAGTAAGGAGGAAATTCACTGCTGCAGCCCCATTGCTCAGCACAGGGTCTGACCCACATTCAGATGTGCAGGGACAACAGTGAAGGAGTGAAGTGTTTTTAGAAAATCTAGAAAACAAAGAGATCAGCAAACATCTGCAGTTGGCACTGTATTCCTCTTCCCTGTGAGCATCATTCATCTAGTTCCCGTGATGTACCAAGAACTTCCAAAACAATGTCATATGGAAATTTTGATAGTAAACATTCTTGTTTTTTCCCTGAATTCAGAGAACTTTGTGCCTCAAAATAGTCCCCTTTTCAGAGTGTGTTGGATTTTAAGACTCCTTAAAGATAACCACTCCAATTTCCCTTTCTGAAGTGCTTTTATTAGCACTGGGGGTTGACTGTTCCACACCAGCCTCCTACCTGTGAGTAAAGAGTTGTTCCAAAATGACAGAAGAGAAAGTATGGATTTTATTCCACTCTCTTTTAGGCAACAGTGACTTACCGAAATGGCCTTGATGCACTCAAGGTAGGAGCTTTTCTTCACACAGCTGACAAAAGGACCATTTTCAAGGACAGTTTTCATATTTTCCATGAAACTGGAACACTTACTGGCCTCATGATTTGAGACAGTGCACCATCTCACAGTTTTCTCAGGGGAGACAGCCAGACACAGCCCTAGGAGAAAGAGGCCAGAGGTTGTGCTAGTGGGAGAGACAGAACACCCTCTTGAAGTCTCCATCCCCTCCATCCTGCCCTCCTCCCACTCCTCCCATTAACACCACAGAGCACAGATTCTGTTGCCTTCTGAGGCCGGGGACAAGAGAATGGAACCCTAATGGCCTCCTAGTCACCTGCTAACCACCCTGTGCTACCCAGAGGGATGCTGGCTTGATCATCAGCTCTCAAGTGGAGACCACAATAATCTGCTTTTCTCTGTTTTCCCTGCCTCCTTATCTCACCATCATGGGACTGCCAAGGGACATAAGCCTCATCAGTGTGACCAGACCTTTTCAGCCTCTTGAAGGCATTGGATTGATATGACAACTTGGGGAAGCTAGCAAGGTAGGAATTACCCAGCCTGTTGGTGGCCAATACTGGCCTAGAAACCAGGTCTCCAGACTTTTGTCTCTGCCCAGGGAATAAAAGAAGATGACATTCTGAGTTATTTTCCATCTGCTTGGCCAGTAGGTAGGGATAAATGATTGATGAAATAATGAATTTGCCTGTGATACTCATCTATCATCCTCTGTTCCAGGAATAACTAGAACTCCACATATTCAGTGGTTCTTCTGTTTCCAGTGACCCCTCCCTCAATTTTCATCAGTCTTCTGGGCTGCCATTAGGAGAAACTAAAACCAGCCATGTCTGTAGCTATTAAAATCATGTGGTTGCACTGCTCCCAAAGACCTCTATCATCTCCACTTTCTGTGGATAACAGCACAGGGCTGACTCAGGGAAGCTGATGAATATCCACAAAGCACAAAGCAGGAAAGGGAAAGGACAACAGTTCTCCAGGATGCATAAGGAGGAGCCACAGGGAAATCAGTGCCCAAACCACCCTTTATCCCACATCTGCCCATGAGAAGTCATGGGAAGCATCAGGAATCAGTGGCAGACCCTTCCTAAACTGCCCCTCCTGAGGTCTCATGGGCAGGAATTTGTCCTGAGTCCTGCATTTACCTTGCACAGCCCTATGAGGTGCTTTGAGGGTGGGAGGGGGCCAGGGGCAAAGGCAAGTAATACAGGGCCAACTCCCAAGGGTAAACTTTTCCAGGAGAGACAAATATCTAAACACAAGTCTCCAAAGGTATAACAAATGCACCAGGAGAGGCAGGCAAAAGTTAAAGGACAAAGGGAGCCAGGCAATCTCAGGAGGTGATGGGTGTGGTAGAGGCCATCCAGTTCACAGGCCCCACAGCACGGACTTGTGCAACGAACTCCACTCCACTGGTGCCTGGATCCATGGCCTCATTTACCCTCGCCTGACCCTCCCAGCCCCAGCCCTCTCACCGGTGAGGACCCAAGAAGCCTGGATTCAAATATGCTTTGAACCTCTCAGCAGCCCTGCTTCTTAGCAGGACATCTTCAGCGCCAATGGCACCCATGGGACATCAGACTGCCAAGGGTGGGGGCGCGGTCAGATCTGGGAGGCCTTGAATACCATGCTTAGCAGTTCAGACTCAACTCAGGAGGCCTCATAGAAGGGATCTGATAAACTATGATGGAAGTGCTCTTACTGTATTCTAATACAAGATTTACTGGACAAGGAGGAGGAGAGCAAGGAGAGGAAGCAAGGAAGCATGGAGGGCACGAAAGGGGGCAGAGGCACTACCAAGACCAGCAGCTGCGCGCAGGCGCAGAGCTGAACCTAAGCTGAACCAGGTGCAGGGATGCGGCGGGGAAGAGCGAAGGAAGTGCTCCGGGCTTCCAGCCCAAGAGTGGAACCCAGGAGCCTGTGTGGCCGAGTGGAGCGTGCAAAGAGCTACCGGGCTGGCGACTCTGCGGACCTTGCCCGCGCCGGCACTCACCCAGGACCGCGCAGGCCAGCAGGGCGCGGACAGCGAGACTCATCTTCCTGGGTCGGTGTCTAGGAGCCGGGAACACAGACCTGTGGGCTTCTGCGCCGTCTTCCCACGTCCGGTGCCCCTTTATCTTCGGCTCAGCGGGTCAAGCAGAATCTTTGACCTCCTGTGTTTGCGCAGCCCGCTTGCCCAATCACCCCTCATCCCTCCCCCTTCATTCCTTCGCCAGGCCGATCACCTCATTTCCTGAGCTCTGGAAAGACCCACGGATGGTTTCCAGCACAAAAATGCTGATTGTAAGGGAATTAAAGAAAAATCAACCCTTTGTTAATGCGTGCTCTCTCTGTGCCAGGAGCAGGGCTGCAGCGGGTAGTGGCGGGGGTTGGGGCCCGTGGCTCTGCTCCT